GCAGGGAAGGGTTAGCCTCCCGATAAGATTGTACAAATAAGAACATCAATTCTACCCTCCCTTTTTTTTTTCTTTTTGGTCTGAAAACTTATTAGTCTCATACAATAAGACTTGTAACACTTTTCTGTAATGAAAAGGAATTTTCCGTCTCTTCATTATTTTCTTTGCCACCTCGGTAGTATGTTTTTTCTTCTTAACGTGGACATTGGCCCTCAGAGAGACTTGCTCTCGAGTCGGCCCTTAGATATTAAGAAATCAATTTAGTAATAGTTCCTTGGTCGAATAACTCTTATTTCTTATGGGCGCTCATGGTGTGTTGTCCCTTTTAGCGGATAATAATCCTGATGGATCTTTTCCTCCTAGCACAGGTGTTACTGTTGCCCGAGAGGATGATAACAAGAGTTTTTGGGGTGACTTTCACTTTCCTTTTGCGGATCTTGTTGCTAGCAGGAAGAGGTAGGGTCACCCCTAAAAATTTTTTTGTAAGGGCTCTACATCAGTCCATGACTGGAAGGTATCCAAGTTTCCCGACCGACTATACAACAACCGATTGTCTGTCATTTGGGTGATCGATTTCTCAAGAATCATTGGAAATATTAGTGATGTTATGTGGTCATTTTTCTAGATCTTCCGAGGGCTTGCTCCGGTGCTGCTTACTTGCGGGGGTCTTCATCATGTGGTTATGCATCAGGCGTGGATCTTATCGTGGCCACATGGGGTGTCCTTTTAGGACCTTTGAGGGATTCAGGCTCTCTTATGGATATTATCTCTAGCGCTTAGGAAAGACTAAACCGAGTTCCCCGCCTCGTGGGTCCTTTGGGAGTGTTTGGACCGAGGGATAGATTGGCCCTTTGATCGTCTTGCGATCTCAGACCTAACGCATATAGCATTCGACCGTTGTAAGTTCCCCGAGCTTATTGGGTAAAGTTTGATGCCATACTCAGTTCTCCGAGTATCGAGAATGGGCCCATTGAAATAATGCTTTTTCTGAGTGAGGGATGATTTAAATGCCTTTTGGACTGACTTCTTTATTCTTTTGACGGGAAATCAACCATCGAGACGTCCCTTCAATGTATTGAGTTGTCATCATTAAGTTGGTCTTTTGCAGATTTTTCCTTCGATGGGCCCAACTTCAAGCCGTTGATCCTCCCCTTTATATAAAGGGGGAGGAAGTTTTTGATCTCCTCACCTTTTCATCTTGTGTACTGACTTTGCAAAAATTTGGTGTAGGGGGCTGATTCGTCTCTCGGTCGGAAGTAAAGAAGATCTTAGTCAACGGGCGCTGAAGGACTGCCGAGTCCTATGCCTCATTAGTTTTTTTTCTTCGCATAATATGTCAAGGGAAAGAATTTTCTTCAAGTCAGGTGTCGAACACCGCCCGAGTCAACGTAGATAGCGGGCTGAAAATCCTTCCTGTGGACAGATGTAGTGGACTTCAAGGAATGATTGAGGTGAGCCCACTTTTCCGGGAGGTTTTCAGACCCTTCAAGGAATGATTGATGCTAGTTGCTCGGAAGTTTTTAGACACTTGGACCCCAGCGGTCCATGAGTAGGGTATGACACCTCCGGTGGCTGTCGTTTCCCCTCCAGCATTCTCCAACTGCTCCTCATCGCGGGAGAAGTTCAAGAGAGAGTGAGATTCCAGGTGAGGGCTACCGACCTTTTTTCGGTTGCATTCTACTTCTGATTCGTACTTGAAAAGCTACTAGATGCAAAAGAGGTTGGAATGCGGTCAAGTAACGAGAACGGGGAACAAAACAGAAGTTCTTGAAGGACGAAGCATGTCGACTTTCGACAAAGTTCTTGACTATGGATCACCCTTCACAGAAAATGTGATGATCTATGGAGAAAACATATTTCCAACATATTCTCAGGGAGATTCATATCCGCCTGATGGTGCGTTGTCAAGATAGATGAATTTTTAGTATTCTTCTTTCACTGGTCGCAATGGTCGAGCTTTCTTCTCTTATTCCAGATAGTGCTTTCGAGTGGTTTTGAAAGATTTGAGCTCTTGGAAACCTGCGTAGGTCCTTTGCCTTCCAAAGTATTGTCTCAGTCAAAAGATACAAAATGTGTACTTGTTTTGTTTGCATGTCGAAAATATATTAAATCTTTCAATTAAAACAAATAAAACTACTTTTTCATTATTTTCATACTTTGTTTCAATCGCATTTTGTTCTTAGTAGTTCTTTGTTGTTATTGTGTCGTGGTTACTAGTTGTCAATCGGTCGGTAGTACATTTCCTATAACTTTGTTTGGTTAAACTAGAGTTCGATTGGTAAGCGCAATCATTCTGCAGAGTTTGCCTGGACGGAGTTCTCCAATTAACATAGGGGTTTGGGATGTTGAAATAAGAATTACTTTATTCTTTATTCCCTTAATCAAAATCACAATAAGTGACGACACTTCCCTTCATGTATACAAAGAATACATTAAGAAACCTAAAAGTTTTATAAGGAAATAACTTTTTTAAGTTGTCTCCGCTCCATGTTCTCGAGAGTTCCTTTACGGTGTATGTCTTTACTCGGTACGCCCCAGGCGAGATGCGTAAGCTTACAATATAGAGCCCACTCCAAGTTTGATCTAACTTACAAATTGTCTGTTGGTGAGCTGTTGTGCGGCCCTCTTTAGAACTCGATCACTTGAAATGACTGTATTTTTCTGAACATGCTTATCAAAATAACAGACGGTTCGCTTCTTAATCTCCTCCTGTCAGAGAGCTAAGCTAGCTCGAGTTCTTCCACGAGGTCAAGCGCTAGTACCGCCCCTTTGACGCTATCATGTTGGTCACTGATCCGCAATTTTGTAAGTTCTGGTGATGGCTCCAGAAAGTTGCTCTACTCCCTAACAACTTGATTGAATTTTTAACATTAAATATTCTTACACACTGGGGTCTCTCACGTAAGTATACGCATCGTCTCAGTAATATAGGGCTCTATTGAGTTTAGATTGTCGATCCTGTAGAGAATATGAAGTTATTAATTCCTTTATGAAAAGTTCAAGCATACTACTAACAGGTCTTAATTTGGAATGTTGATTAATGTGGTTTTACTAACTACTACTCCTAAATTATAGCACAAAGTCTAAAGCTAAACCAAACTATATCAATTGGTTCGGTCGATTCTTAATCAGTCGAATCTTTCGTCATGGTTGTGTCAGGCGATTCTTAATCATGTGGTTGGTTGTAGGGCAATAGAACGCCTCGATTAATGTCCGGTCCATTCAATTGCTTTGAGGTCCGCGCTGACAGCTTTGGTGCATACAATCATTTATATATTAAAATATTTATTTAAATATCAAATTTGATTACAGAACTTAATTCATATATTATATTTTCTTAAAGTGTCAATGAATTCATTATGAAACATAGAAATATATAAAATTATAAAACTAACTTTATAACGATGATTAAATAAAATATTAATTTCTTAGATATGTACAAACATCAATCATACACACAAATAAATGTTTCAAAACATATACGAAATTACAAAGTTAGAAGCATCAATTTGATCTCTTATGATCATATGCCAGATTATAGAAGGTTAATGGAAGGTAATGACGGCAAAAGATAATAGTGATTTAGTGGCAATAACTTGAAGATGGTGATTGTGCGAAGATGGTCAAAAGAAGGGCAGTTATGTGATGACATTTGAGAGAAAATGATTAGACAATCATAGCCGTGGAGGACAATCCAATGACGACAATCAAGAAATAAAAATCGAACCATACCATACAAAAATAAATAAATGATGATGACCAAGAAATAATAGTTATCGATAATTTTCATAATTTTATAAAATTGGGTAATTTTTTAGAGTTCCTTAAATCTCCGAGTTTCATCTTTTTTTAGCTCACTTTACTTTCATATGCAAAATGATATCTATAAAAATTTATTTAGAGTAATTCTTGATTATTGATCGAGCAAATTCGAACATTTCATTTTATTAAATATTATAGAATTTATATTTCTATTATTTTACTCTGCTTAAGAGTAGTTTAGTCTCTATGTTTATTGTATATATACTTATCTTTTACTATTATAATGAGGTGATTAATGCAATTAAAACGCTATCCACGTTTCCATTGTCTTTTCTATTTTCCTTCTTCTTCTCTATTCCACACAATTCTTAACAAGGTATCAGAGAAACTTTTGATTCATTCATAGCTGTCGTGAATCCATTCATATCAGAGAAAACTATGAGTTTGCGGGAGGGTTGCGTTCAGGGTGAAGTGTGTAATTTTTTTTTTCCAGGATCTACTTGCAGTTTCTGAGTTATTTTAGAGTTTCGGCATCATTTGCAATCTCCAGTCATATATCAAAATTTAAATATTTTTAAAATAAATTATTCATTCAAAATTTGATTATCTCAATAACATCAAAACTGAGCGCTTTTTAATTCATGGAGTTTTCATCATCAAAATGCTAACTTGAGCTCAAGTATGTAAAATTTAAAAATTATCTGAACATTCAATAAATATAAAAAAAAAATTCATCTTCTTGAACATTGATCTATCCTCCTCAAGTTGTTTACTTAATTATAGACATATCAAATTAATCTTTAAATAATTTTACATATATTTTTAAAATTTTAAATTTAAAACTATACCAAAACTTGATTAAATCAATTTTCAACATTATTCTAATTAATAATCTTTTAAATACACATCTGGAAGATCTTTAATAAAATTGCTAATTTTGGCCCTATGCGCTGCATTATTATTATTTTGAATAAGAGGAGAGCAAGTACTCTCTACTCCATACACTATGCTCTCTCTTCTATTATTTACCATTCGCATATACACGTTACACCCGCACCCAATATTTTCTCCACACCTTGGCTTTATCGTCGTCGTCCTCACATGGGCTTTAAGATGCAAATAAATTTAAAATAAAAGGAAAATAAAATGAATACAACCACCGGAAGCCGAAGCAGCCTACCATTAGACGGGAGTGGACTACACGTGCTTACTTTTCCAATATAAAATTCTCCATTTCCCCCATTTATATCCCGCAAGCTTCTCCTCACCAACTCCTCCCTCGCTTCTCTTCACGCATAAACCAGGGGAGCCATGGGCGCCGGTGGCCGCATGACCGCCAAGGAGAGGGAGGAGCGCGAATCCCTCCGACCAAATTCCGGCCCCTCAGATCCCTCAGATCCTTTCATCCGCGTCCCCGCGGAGAAGCCCCCTTTCACCCTAAGCCAATTAAAAAAAGCCATCCCCCCTCACTGCTTCCAGCGATCCATCCTCCGCTCCTTCTCCTACGTCTTCAACGACCTCCTGGTTTCCGCCGCCCTCTTCTACCTCGCCGTCAGCATCCTCCCCGCCCTCCCACCACCCTTCCACCTCATCGCCTGGCCCCTCTACTGGCTCGCACAGGGATGCATCCTCACCGGCGTTTGGGTCATCGCTCACGAATGCGGCCATCACGCCTTCTCCGATTACCCAATTGTCGACAACATCGTCGGCCTCATCCTCCATTCCTTCCTCCTCGTCCCCTTCTTCTCATGGAAATACTCACACCGCCGGCATCATTCCAACACCGGATCCCTAGACCGCGACGAAGTATTCGTCCCCAAACTCCAATCCTCCCTCCCCTGGTTTTCCCCCTACCTTAACAACCCCTTCGGTCGCATACTAACCCTCGCCGTGACCCTAACCCTCGGCTGGCCGATGTATCTCCTCTTCAACGTCTCCGGCCGACCCTACGAACGCTTCGCCTGCCCCTTCGACCCCCTTCGACCCCAACGGCCCAATCTTCAACGACCGTGAGCGCGCTCAGGTCTTCATCTCCGACGCCGGTATCTTCGCCGTATTATACCTCCTCTACCGTCTCGCCACATCCTTCTCCATTTCATGGGTCCTTGGGATCTACGGCGTCCCTCTTCTCATCGTCAACGCATGGCTGGTTCTCATAACTTTTTTACAGCACACTCACCCTGCCCTTCCTCACTACGATTCCTCCGAGTGGGATTGGCTTCGCGGCGCGCTAGCCACCGTCGACCGCGACTACGGTTTCCTCAACCGGGTTTTCCACAACATCAACGACACGCACGTCGCGCATCACCTCTTCTCGACCATGCCTCATTACCACGCCATGGAGGCGACCAAAGCCATCCGGCCAGTGCTTGGTGATTATTACCGGCTGGACACAACCCCGGTGGTGAAGGCGATGTGGCGGGAGGCCAGGGAGTGCATTTATGTCGAGTCTGAGCAGGACAAGGGGAAGCCCAAGGGTGTTTTCTGGTACCGCAACGTCTACTGAGAGGCCAGGACTGCCGGATGCCGGCTGTGGGGAAAAAGAATAAAATAGTTGGTTCCAGTTAGGTTCATTAGTGGTTGTCAAGAATCAAGATCTTCCTTTCCGCTTGCCTGCTTCTGAGCTAAAGCTAAAAGAGGAGTCAAAAAACTTTAGATCGTCAAGCCTGACCGGGGGCATTGGTTGGGTTCGTCGTGTAGTCGTGTAGTCTTTCTGTATCCATTGTCTGTCTTATTGTAATATTTTATGTGCTCTAGTTGCTTCAGAATCGTTGTTTCGCGTGGCGGGTTATTATACTACAGTTAGTACTAATTTCGTGGAACGCATGTTTTCATTCGAGAGTCGTGTTTATAAGTATTAAAATCAGTACTTAATCTGCTGAAACTCGATCCAATTTATTGTTAAAATATTTTTTCATTCTAATAAATGTAGAACAAAAAAATTATATTGACGAATTATATATAGATATTGCCGTACTGGGTTTTGGTAGTTAATTTATGAATTTTAATAGTATAATTAATTATTGCTAGATTTTCATGCATACCACTTAATTCTTATGTATTTACATGTCCAAATTCTAAACTCTGAAAATATTTACATATATGTATATGTTTGCCACGTTAATTATGCATGGAGTGTATTTTTTTTATGTGAGTTGAAAATTTTGGGTGGTATAAATGTTAAAATTATTGTTTAGGTGTTCGATAGACGATATGTAAATACATGGGAATTAGGTGGTATTAATGTGAATTACCGTTAATTATTATAATGTATTTGGTTACAGCTGTTTCTTTGATTGTTTTAAAATATGTATTTAATAAAATATTTTTTAAAGAAATAAATGTAGATATTTAAAATGCCTCAACAGTTTACCGACGAAGTTATGTTGTTAGATATTTGTAAAAATTAAATGAGCAAATCCTTTCGTTGCATATTTGCCTACCATAATGATTTTATATGCCATTATTTCTTCGAAGCAGTCATTAATTAAAAAACTTATTATATATATATATATATATATATATAGATATAGATATTCGGGGAGGTTGAGCTGGGCAATTTTCAGAGTTCTCGAACCTCACGATAAGTAACTATGCTCTCGGTAAGAGTAAGGGAAATACACTTCACGTTGTGCTATTGACGTCCGGACGTAGAGATTTATCCGGTCTCCCCATGTAAAATTTTTTCTGAGACACGTAAATATAAAAAGCTTGTGTGCTATGAAAGTAAATGCTCCACAAATTAAATAATGTAAAAAAATTTAAAATGTTGAAATATTTACATGTTTGACTTTCAAATTGTTTGGATTTATCATTTATCTGTTAAAAATAATTAATTAACATATTGCGTGAAAACGCAAACTTCAAAAAATTTTTACGATGAGTGGTTTAATAACATGTTGTATGATAATATTTATTTTAAATTTAATTTCTTATGTGTACTTGTTAAAAATTATACCACGTGTTGTTGCACGTGGTTGAATTATATATATATAGCG